TAGTCTAAGATTAAAAATAATAATAATTAAAATTTCTTGCTTTTATTCTATTTTGTTAGCGGTTTGTTAAGGGAGTAAGGCTCTAGAATTTTTTTTTTCTCTTTTTAATATTTTTTTTCCAAAAGCTTAAAAAAATTAGTTTTGGGCGAAAAATTTTGGTTATAGAAGCGACACACACATATATATTTTAAGTTTAGCTAGATAGTAAGAATAAATAGTTGAAAAACTTTTGTATACACCCGGTTTACACTAATATTAGTGTATATCAAGCAAGGGTAACTTTTAGCTAATTTTATGGTAACTTTTTGCCTTTTTTTTAGATAACATAAACATAATACAATTTTTATATAAATAGACAACAAGCTAAGAAAAGTTTTATAAAGGTAATTTAATTACATTGAATCATTAATAATTGACTTTTAGTTATTTAAAATGTGATTCTTTACTAATAAAGCGTTGATAATTGTGATATATGATTTAATTGTTGTATTATTTTAGGGGTAACGTTTACTCATTTTATGGTAACTTTATAACGGATGTACAATATTTTATTATACATATGATTTTTTACTTATTCGAGTTATTACCTAAACATAAGCATGGTCTGGTGGTTGTAGACTTGTAGTGCGTGCATGAATGGGGTGTGCTCCTCACTTTTTTCTCGGGTTGTATTCCTTACCCTACTGCTCTTTAAATTTCATTTAACAATTGTTTTTTTTTTTTTTTTTTCTATTGTGTTTGGAATTTTTGTAATATTTGTTTTTCTTTCTCTTGTTTTAATTTGATAATTCAAAAAAATTTGCAATTTTTTTTCAAAGGTAACTCAAACCCCTTCATATCTATTATCAAATTGTGCAAAGACTTAATTATTATATGATTTATGATAAGGTAATTGATTCGTACTTATCGTTTATTGGATTACACATTATAGAATTGGGGTTACGTATAAACAAAATTTTATTCCTTGTTGGATAATATATAATACTCCGTATGTAACTTTTTACAACTCCTCTTTTACTATATAGCCGATATAGGAATATTACCATATGTGATTTCAAATAAATATTAAATAATTTATGTGATCAATTTTTTTTTCTTGAGATTTTTATCGAATTATTAAACCTCTGACATTTGTCCATCCGAATTAAAATTCTAGCTCCGTCACGGGATAAATCAGTCCATGATGAGGCAATTAGTGGTTCGTGCGTGGAGGCGGATGTACCATGCGCATGGTGCATCTGTTCCAAAAAAAAATAAAATGGAAAGAACATTGTTTAGAGATGTAAAGAACATTTAGCTAAAATGAAAAGAACATTTAGTTAAGGTGAAAAGAACATGTTATAGAATTGCAAAGATTAAAGAAATGAACATAACACTATCTAATAAAGAACATCATCTTCAACCTTTGTCACATTATTCTCAAATTAAACAACTATATTCATATTCATCAAATTTTCAAAAGGTAAATTAAACAATGAATTTTATGATTACAAAATATTCTAATTCAAATCTAAAGTAACACAATTAAAGAAAAATAAATACAAAATTTCATTCAAAATTACCTTCGATCTTTGATTAACAAATCCACATATTCACCTTCATTAAAAATCACTCCATTAACAAAACAATGATTAAAAGCACCACGAAACTCGATCTAAATGCGTAGCCATCGTCTTCTATCACAAGAATTTCTTTTTCTCTATAAATTTTTTATTTCTCTCTCTAAGATTTTTATTCTTCTCTCTAAAAAATTCAAACAAGTGAAATTAAATATGAGGAAATATACAAATTTCTAAATTGAGATTGGGAAATAATTACCAAAACTCTTTAATTATGGAACAAATAATTCATTTAAAGATTGTAAAACTAGATGTTCTTTAAAAAATACTATTATGTTCTTTTTTTTTTGTTGAATAAAAATAATATTCATTACATTATATTATCACGCTCTTTATTATTATTATGTATGTTCTTTAAATACATACAAAGTGCATAAAGCTGGATGTTTTAATTTTTTAACAAAATAGTTATATGTTCTTTACAAAACAACTGTATGTTCATTACAAAACAACCATATATGATGTTCTTTATAAAATAACTATATGTTCTTCACAAAACAACTATATGTTCTTTACTGAACAACTATATGTTCATTTCGCCTTTTTTTTAAAGAAAAACCGGATGCACGGAGCATGGTGCATCCGCCTCCATGATAAAAATTTCAATGATGAGGTTTTAACCTTAATAGCTTTTCGTTTAGGAAAATTTGTCAAAAATAACACCACATTTGAACGGTCTTCCTATAATAACACCACCTTTTGATTATTCCAGAATAACACACCTTTCATATGTATTTGCCAAAAATGAAACAAAACCGGTTGGTAACTTGTTATACTGGTTTCCTATGACACGTGTCACAATGTCATTGGTCAATTATTTTTATTTATTTTTTTAAAAAAAAACCTAAGTAATTAAAATAAAGTTAAAAAAAAAAACCACCACCTAGCCTCCCTGCCCAACCTCCACCTTCACCGGCGCCCCTCCCCCCACCCTCGTCGTCGATCGACCTCCCTAGCCTTCCCCCCTCCCCTGAACGACACTCCTCCACCCATTCCCCCACCCTTAAACAACCCACCACTGAAACCCTAGCCTATGGAAATTAGGGAGAGGAAGCCGAAATTGAAAAGGGAAGGAGGGAGGGGGCCGAAATCGGAAAAGGGAAGAGGGGAGAGGGTCGGCCGGAAAGGGGTAGGGAAGGGGAGAGGGTGGTGCAAAGGGGTCGAGAAGGGGAGGTGGGTGCCGAAAAGGGGTAGGGTAAGGGAGGGGGTGCTGGAAAGGGGGTCGGAAACTAGGACGGGGGCCGGGGATAGGGTTGTTTTAGGTGGATGGTCTTGGTGGGGGTGGTGGATGCCGTCGAATAGTGGTGGATGCCGGTGATAGTGGTGGGAAGGGGGGGGGGTTAAATTTTTTTTTTTAAAAAAGTTTTTTCAAAGTCAAAAATAAAAACAAATAAATTGACCAATCAAACTAGAACACGTGTCCCAGGGTTACCTGTAAAACAGGTTACTGGTTTTTTGTTTCATTTTTGACAAATACATGTGAAAGGTGGTGTTATTCAAGAATAATCAAAAGGTGGTGCTATTATGGGAAGACCGTCCAAAGGTGGTGTTATTTTTGACAAATTTTCCTTTCATTTATGGTGTCAGGTTGTTTAGTATTACATTTTGGAACTCAAAGTTAATTGTTGGATAACGTTTACTTTTGTAACGGTGTAATATAAATTCATTAATGAATCCTCTATATTAAAGTGATATGTACACGTGTAAGTCTGTTTTTTTTTTTTTTTTTTTTTTTTTTGAGTGGATATCATTTGATTATGTAATCTACAACTCAAATTTAAACGACAAAAAAATACCGTTTCAATAAATTTATCACATTGCAATTCAATAAACTACGTTACCATCACTTGAACCTCTTCTCAAATTCCCATATATTTTCACTCTTTCTTATCTTGTATAATCCATATTCTCAATATAGAATGCATTGCAAGTTTGGTATGTAAAACTTAGAGTTTACTAAAAAGATTATGGGACGAAAATTCATATAGTTCTAAAAAATGATAAGTGTAGTTCGGTGCATTGTTCAAGCATCCAAGCCCACTTGTATTAATGAACATCCATCTTAATACTATTGAAAACATGCAATAACCTAATTGTTCTTAATTATATTACCCTCAAAAATCATGTTATGTTAGCAAACTTAACATTAACATAAAACCTAGGACACCAAAAAGGAAACAATAACTCACAAGACACATAAAGTTTGACATCTAAATAATAATTTTCAACTCTCAAACTATTTTTATCTTTTCCATTTTCCAAATAACCATAAATTTTAAAAAAAATAAATTAAAAAAAGGCAAAAGCTAACGAACGTTCCGGGGGCATTGGATACGTTAGCTAAAAGTAGAAAAAATAAATTAAAAATTAATATTAATTACACCGATTGACGCGTGATTTTATATACTTTTCCAAATTAATACCACATTAGGTAATATTTTAAATGTTTATCCAACGTCTCGTCTCGGAGCGTTTGTTAGCAAGATCCTCTAAAAAAAATGTAATGAACTGAACTTTAGTGTTGGTCCAATGTGATTGGGTAAGGTAAAAATTGAGTGATACACAAATTGATGTTTCTACTTTATACTGCAAAACCATGTTATAATAACAATAATATTATGAAAGGGTATCTGAGATTATTATTTTTGATTAAAGTGCTTCTCGGGATTGCCAAAATCATAAAAAAATTCCCAAATCTTAACATCTCATTATCATCATCTTTAAATCTAAATATTTCTTCCCACACTCCCTCATTTTTTATATTCATTAATAATAAACTAATAATCATTTTTTTTTAAATAAAAAAACACCTAATTATGTTAACGGAGAAAATCGTGAGTAAAAACGCCGTTAAAATACCCGCCGCAACGACGTGAATATAACGCCGTTTACAGAAACAGCAACACTGTATAAAAGATCTCCTCACTGTAGTAAAGAGGTTTTTCGAAGAGAGAGAAACTCATGTTTTAGAGAGAGAAAGTGAAGAGAGAGAGAGAGAGAGAGAGCAGAGCAGCGCCTATCGCGCGTCAAGCAATTTTCTCGAGGAGATAGAAAATATATTACTCACCAAAGATCAAAGCGTAATTCTTACTACATTTTTTTTGTTGATTATTTTGAATTCTATAGGTTGATTGTGCTAAATTGTTGTTTTTGTTGTTGTTTGAGTTTGATTTTTGTTTGAGTTTTTTCGTTGTTAGATCTTGTGATTGATTATGAATTCTATTGGATTGTTTCTGATTTCGAGGATTTTTATCTGAATTATGCATAATTCCGTTGATTTTCGTGATTTTGATTAGTGTTTCATCTGAATTTTGCATAATTCTATTGTTTTTCGCAGTTTAGATGTGTAATTCTGATTTTGTTTCTGGAATTGAATTGCAGATTTGCAGAACTTTGAATTTAGTTGAAGAAGAGTTGACAGAAGCAGCAGTTTTTGAAGAGAGAGAAAGTAAATGTGGTTTTGGATCTTCTGCGTAATCTCATTCATGCAAAATATGATTGCATGATTTTGGATCTGATTTTCTGCATTTGAATTCCTCCAACGTTCAAATCATCGCAAAATTCAGCTGAATTTCTTCATAATTTGATAATTCAGTTGGAATTTTAGGGGTTTTTTATGGAGCTTCCTCAATCCCGCCCTTTCGGAGCCACACAAGGTAGAATTTCCGTAAAAAACGTTTCGAATAATTTTATTTTTATATTTAATTTAATAATTGATGAAATGAAAGATAAAATTCACATGGTAATTTGTATTTTTGTACCGTTTATTTTCATTTTTTAAAAAACTTTTTATTAATTTTTTTTTTGGTTGGTTGTGAAAGTACAGGTAGAAAAGCTACGCATGACTTTCTTTCTCTCTACAGTCACTCATCTCTTCAGCAAGATCCAAGGTCTTCTCACGGTAAAATTTCTTTTTTTATTTTTTTATACTTTTTTCTCTATTCTTATCAGTGATCGGATTTTCCGATTCTAGTGGTATCGTAAGAGGGTGACACGGGATAGAGTCTTGTACGCGTCTATAGAATAATAGATTTTGAGAGATTTAAATATTTCTACTAGTAGTTAAGTGAAACTTTTGTTTTTGCTAAAATTTAATAAGCACATCTAATGTTTTTACGGGTTGGTTTGTGCCTTTATGCATGTGAGTTTTATAAAAGGGAAAAGAAAAAATAAAATAGTTATACTTTATTATACAGTAATAATTATTTGGCTAAAGATGGGATTGGAGGAGGGGGGACTAGGGGAGTATATAAAACCATATAATATAATTAGGCTATCACAAAAAAGATGAATCATGCATGTGACGACCAAAAATGAAATATCTTTCCTCCTAACAAATCGCATTTTATATGTGATTTTGGTTGGTTAGAGCGATGACTTTTGTTAGATGAGAAAAATGGTAGTGAAAGTAGGCTCTATTCTTTCAGCCCAAATCTGGAATAATAGATCTGGGTTCTGGCCCATGGGCCCTGATATAAAGCCAGAAATTTGGAGGGCCACTTAGTCTTGGACACGTCAACACGTGAGGGAGAGGGGGTTGTCTTTAGTGGGGCCCATTTTGGGGGAGAAACTGACTGATTGATGTTACGTGAGGCCCAACCCACATAGAAAATGCAAAATCCTTTTTTTTTTTTATGTGGGTCTTCAGAAAATACGCACGCTCTTGTCTCTGACAGTGATGTTTGGGCATTCAAGACTAAGAAGAGAGAGAAAGAGAGAGATCCAAGTCGTGTGGTTCAGTAGTTGTCCTTTATGCAATTTGGTTTTTACCCTTTTAAATGTAGTCCTGTCCAAAATTGTTTTTGAGTCTATTTTGGTATAAGTTCTTTTCAAGATTAATCATACTTCAATGTTTAGGCCAAGTTCTCGGATTAAAATGATTTTACCGGATTAAATCTTAATTGAAATTGATTTTTACTATTTAGAAGTTTGAACTGATTGTTCTAATGACAAATCCTAGTGATGGATGGTCTAATGGGTTATATTGGGTAAACATATACAGAGTACAAAGTAGATAATAAGTTCACAAGGATGTAAATGTCGCCTTTATTTGATAGGGGACTGATTCGCGTTGTATTCTATTTGAATTTGGTTTTAGAATATATTCCACGACCCTCTAATTGACTACACTCTCCCTATACCACAGAAGATAGAATTACTTTGCAATTTGTTACATGGAATTCGAGCCAAGGATTGATTGCATGTAAAGATCTCGGGGATGAGAAAAATCTAATTTCAAGCTAGAAAATTTTCGTTGCGTACACAAGTAGTTCTTTGAAGCTTGAGAAAAGTACATCAAATTGGAATGCAAAGGCAGAGTATCATTGTGTGTTTGTAGTCTTTGTACACAGATTATACACAAACATGAATTAATGTCAGGAAGCATGCCTTAAATTTTTTTTCTTGCAATCATTTGGACTCAAACCCGGCTATTTAATGAAAACCATCCATGAACATGAACTATGATCTTACATGAACTGTCAAAGTATCCATTCCTATGTACACCATATTTTCCCTTCGTATTTTTTTTTCAATTTATAAATGGACAATAAGCTTCTAAATTTATGCCTTGTAGCTGTAATGTTGTTTTGTTTCAAATATACTTCTCAATAATGATTAGTGATTGCATTGCCTCTTTGATGAGAGTGGATTTCACAATTGTGATTCTAACATTTAGACCAGGATGTTTCATTTTTTTGCTGCATTAATTTAGTTAAGTATTTGTTTGCAGTCTATTTTATAATGCTTGTGACTCATGGTTGCTGAACTACAGTGTTCTGCAATTGCTAAGCATGGCCACTGTATAAATACTATGTTCTTAATATGTTTACACAGCTACATGTATCTCGTGTAAATCTATTCTTCACCCTTTTATGGTTCTGGTTTCAACGTTCTTTTGTCTGAGGTCTTACAGTTTAATAATTAATTGAGCAGTAATATGAATGATCGAAGAAGAAACAGATAATTGTTTGCACTTCCTTATTTGTCTACTAGTTATACCATACATAAAAAAAATGTTTTAAGTGTATAACTTTTATCTGTCTTTTCAACTCTGAAAGGAGCAGGAGGTTTGCTTAAAACACATAATTTCCTCCAACCACTTGAAGGAGAAGAAAAGACTGGTCCTAAGGAAGACAACTTGGTAGATATAAATGCTAAGCCTCCATCTGCAGCTCCTCCTACTTCAGTAGTTGAACACGTATTGCCTGGTGGGATTGGAACATACAGCATAAGTCACATTTCCTATTTTAATCCAAAGGTGCCTAAGCCAGAGGAGAATATCTTCTCAGTGGCTCCAGCAACCAGCAATGATAAAAATGATGACAATTCAAATTGTAGCTCATATACGGGAAGTGGCTTCACATTGTGGGACGAAACAACTGTGAAAAAGGGAAATACAGGGAAAGAGAATTTGGGGGATGAAAACATAGTAAAAGGTAAATGTCTAAATCATTCTTTTAACTTAGATTAAGCATTGCATAGCAGGTTGATACTCGATTTAAGTAATTTACTATCTAGACATTAGTCCAATAATAATTATTGTGTTCATGTTTTAGTTTGGCATACAAGACAACTTAGAGGACCCATTTGAAGTAGAAAGGTAATATACTATACAGACCTCCGTGAGCATGATGCTTGATGTCATAGTGATGCTTTCAAAGCGTTTGTATGGGGATTGGAGGTTACACTCACATCAATGTAACACTCCATCACATAATAAACCTCTCATTTGTATATTAGGAAAAAATAAGGATATCTGATATTCTGGTAAACTAGCTCACCAGTGAACTATACAAAGGAAGGGCAGTGAATCCCACATAAGTGTAATTATTAAATTGTCGCCTCTCTTACAGTTTGCTGGAGAACTTGCTCTCTAAATAGCCTTACTTGTATTTTAGGGTGTCACAATATAATTTTCTCTCGAAGTCACTCTCTACTTTGATTTCTTCATCACATCAATCTCTATGTCTTTTAAAAGGAAAAATATGGGACTGAGGGAGGATTTAATGTTGCTACAATTTAATTGAGTTGAATACAGTTTGCTTCAGGAGGGCTTTTTTCATCATGGAATTTTGAACATGCTAATATGTACTTTAGGACTTTGATTTGGACAGGAGGGTACGAGTGGCAAGGTTAGTTGAGTATTTAAATGCAGAGAAGCAGATAATTTGAAAGGGGTACAAAAATTGGCTCATATAAAATACATAGAATTGAATACTTGCAAGTGTTGTAACTCGCAATTTCCTCTTGGGATGAAGTATTGATAATAGTTTTGGTTGAAGTGATTGCTCTGGGTCAGAGGCTCAGAGTACTACTACAGACCTACAGTAGTATTCCACATATATAATCTAATTTCCAATGACTGTAGGCTTTCTTTACATAACTTACCTTCCTCGTTCTAAGGCCAACTACATCAAGGTTTATTAGGAATTTGATACTTGAATTTCGACAAAGACTTTTGTTCCATCCCAATTTCTGATATTAGGGAACTTGTGAAGTTTCTCTCTAGAAAATTTATATTTTTTACAAACTTCACTAGATTTTGAAAAATCTCTTGATTTTGATGGACAGAGTCAACAATAAAAATGGGGCAGTGGCCTTTGGATCGGCCGTCACACTCTTCTTCCAACCACCGCAGCAGTGTCAGCCCTCTCTCGTCTTCTCAGTCAGTGACTTACCCTATTTATATTTCTCTCATCCTCACCAGCAACTATGTCCAACTGATAAGGAAATTGGAAATTTTATAGGGCAATAATTCAGAAGAGTCAAAGCTTTATGGAGATGATCAAGTCAGCAAAGGGTCCTCATTCCGTGGTGGAAGAGGTTGAAGAGGATGTGAGCCTAAAAAAGGAAAGCAGCTCTTCTTTAAAGGGTTAGTATTCTGCTCATTGTAATAAGAGTTGGGTTGTATTTGGCGTCATGAACTTCTTTATTTCCCTCTGTGTCTTTTTAATTGAAACAGAAATTCAGATGTAAATGAAATTTGTCACTTATGTTTTCTCTTGATAATACAAACCTATTCTGATTGACTTCAAGGGATATAATTAAATCTCATTCAATTAAGATATAAGAGGTTCTAACCATTGATATTAATGATTCTACAGGAGAATTACGTGTAAATGTTGGTGGTAAGAGCAGTGATCAGAAAGCTATCACCCCTCGGTCCAAACACTCTGCCACAGAGCAGCGAAGAAGATGCAAAATTAATGACAGGCAAGTTTACCTCACAGCCTAAGTAATGAATGTCTAAATTAGATGAAGCACCTACTACTGTACTAGATGCACCATGGGACTTGTGCCTCAAAATAAAGTTCATATCTGTTCCCATTCCTTTGACTTGTTGCTGCATTATCTGGGAGTTGTCTTCTAAGAGGCATCTGATGATTTGCCATATTGAAACTAAAATTTTGTTTCCAAAGTCTTTAGCAAGATAAACAGTAAAAAGATATACAATTAATGCAAAAGAGCAGTTCCTA